ACTTAAGGAACAAGATGTTAGAAACAATACTGTTATAAATGGCCTCAAATTGACCTTTTTTATGGCTAAGCAAAATTTCATCATATGTAAAAATAACACCTTTTTTTTATCAATTTAGACATTTATAGATGAATGGATGGACCTTGAAGACCACTGTAAGTGGTCACACATGTAAATTGGACACACATGTAAATTCATCATTATCTCTCTGGAGTGAGAAACTGAAAGTGTAAATATGAACCAAATGTAAAACAGATATTGTAAAATAGGAAGAAATTGTTGAAAAGGAAAAGGGAACTAGAAGAGGGAAGAGGGAAATAAGGGAAAAGAAAAAATGAGAAAAGAAAGATAAAATGGAAACACAGCTTTGTGACTAGGGAGGGGAAGGGGAGTTGAAGGGAGGGAATGGGAATAGGAATGGGGTAAAAGAGGAATCAAGATGTATCATGTACAGGTATAAATTTCCTATAATGAATGATTATTATATATACCTAAATTGTGCCAAAAAACTTAAACAAATAGAGAACAGAAACAATACTGTTAAGAGAGAAAATATTTTGACTATTAAAATTTGCTGGACAGGTTTTACTAAAAACTATTGTACTAGAAGTCTGAGCTCAACTCCTAATGTAACAAGGAGAGTGGAACTGTAGCTAATGAGCAGAATGGAAGCTAAGTTACTAAAGAAGAGACATACAAGTTGAAGGATGTTTTCTAAACTGGTCCCATAGATTTTTGCTAAGAACAGGCCAAACTTACACATCAAATCTAGGGAATGGGGAACCTGATCAGATAGCAAGGATGTCAAGATATCAAGGGTGGGGTATTAGCAGGCTTCTCTGTAAGGCTTGCTTAAGCAAGCTAAGGACAAAGATGGAGGATGAGGCCTAAATGAATGGAGAGCTCAGGGAAGCCTGTACAAGGTTTAGTCAAGAGAAGAATCTGTCATGTTAGACTTACACACTGAAAACTACAAAATACTGTTCAAAACAAATACCCAAATGAATAGAAAGATACTCCATGGTCACAGAACTTTAATATTGTGGTATTATTGATATATTATCTGAACCTGATAAGTTTAGAAGTTTAAAAGATTCAGTGGGGAGTCATGTTCCTTTACTTTGTAAATATCCCATTCTGTCAAAGAAGGCACACAGATTTTGTGAGCGCTACACTTGCCCTGGGGGATAGGAAGTGGCCTGAATACAATATAAGGGAAGAAAAGAGCCTTGCTCCCCATTTTTTGTTCTTGCTGCTTTTGCTGGCTGGTACCTTGAAGTTTCACTCCTATTCACACCTTGCCTTGGAGCCAGCTGATTACGGACTGAAACTTCCACAAACTGTAAGCTAAAAAAGTCTTGCTTTCCTTCATTTTGGGTGTCAGTTATTTTGTCTCAAAAATGAAAGAAAGTAACCAAGACAGAATTTGGTTCCAGAGATGTGGGGCTATTGCTGTGAAATTACCTGACCATGTGGTTCAAGAGCCTTTGGTAATGGTTTGTGGAAAGAATTTGGAAAAGTTCAGTGATGTTGCCTAAAAGAGTAGTGCTGGAATGTCTTATGCTATCCTGTATGGGAGATTCTGGTCAAAGCTCAGAAGAACAGAACACTGATAGAAATCCTGCTGGTAAAGACCAGGTTCAGGAGATTTCCACTGGGAAGAGGGAAAGCATTGGTTGTTGGGACTCCAGACAACGTGTGTTACAGTTTTATGAAAGTTTGTATTTTGCTCATAACCAGAGACTTTGCATGAGACTAAGATTAAGGGCAGTGTACTAATTAATCTAGCACAAGAAATTTCAAGGCAGTCAAATGTTGAGACAGTGGCATTGCTATTGTTGGGGATCAAGAGCAAAGAGCCCAGCAGGGTGATTTAAAACACTGTGAGTTTGACCAGAAAGGAAGCTCCAATGAAACTGTGGACTGCAAAGATAAAGCTGAAGGAATCTCAACTGTTGAGAAGGAACAGGAGAATAGAAAAATGGCATGAAGTTATCACAAAAAGCAGCAAGTCTCAAAACTTCGTAGCCTCAAAACCGCAAAAGTGAAAGACTTGGCTTTGCAGTATAGCCTCGGAGCACCATGTTCCAGAATGGGAGTGACACAGAGAATTTGTTCTTTACAGAAGGCTCAGAGAACTCAGTGATCCAGGCATTCGACCCCTACCGTGAAGACAAGAAAGCCTGGCTACTGCTCCAGCAGTCAGCGGACTTTGGCACCATCCATAGGTCCTGGTTTTACATGCATACAGAATGCAAGAGCTCTGAAGTTAAAAAAGGCTTCCACCTCAATTTCAGAATTCCTGGGTGGCCAAGCAGTGTTCCCCTGAGAGAGTAATGTGTGAAGATGTGAATGTGATGCCAAGGTGGAGTGGAGACCCCAGAAGTTTGGAAAAGCCAGGAATGTGACTCATCTAAGGAAAGCTGCAAGGGTGGAGCAAGGCAGGACTAAGAGAGAAGCCATAGGAGCTACAATCACCAGAAGTGATTAGAAGTGGAGTCATAGAAGTGGAGTCACACAAACCTTTTGGAGCTCACAATTTGCCACAGATTGCTACAGATGCTATACATGCAAATACAGGACTTAATGTTTGCCTGCTGGATTTTGGACTTGCTTTTGTCCTAATCCTTTGTATCCTCCTCTTGTAGCTTTTGGAATGAAAATATCTATCTTGTGCCATTGAATGTTGAAAGTGTTTAACTTTTCCTTTGTACAGGGGCTTGCTGCTAAGAGTTTACCTCATATCTTGGAAGAGACTTGGGACTTGGGCTTTTCAGCAAAGCTGAAACAGCTAGGAATTTGGCAGCTTTTAGAGATAAACTAAATAACTTTTGCATAAAGGGATGTGCATGAGTCTTTGGGGAGCCAGAGGAAGAATGTTATGGTTCTAATGTAATATAACATTGATAGACAATATTGGTTCTAAAGAATTGCAAGACTTGTGTCATAATGTTCAAGATGTGAAATGGCAAGAATAAACAGGCCTTTGTATCTGAAGACCTGTTTAAAGAAATGTGTCTTGTTACGAAGCTGAAAAGGAGTGCATTGCTGTGGCTGATACATTGTGTCAACTTGATAAATTTAGAAATTTAACTAAGTGACTCAGCAGGGAACTATGGTCCTTACTTTGTAAATACTCTCATCCTGTGCAAGAGGAGGGCACTTAGATTTGTGAGTGCTACACCCCGCTAGGGGACAGGGATGTTCTTTAAGGGAAGAAGAGAGGCTTGCTTCCCCCACCCCTTTTGCTCTTGCTGATTTATGCCTTGAGGTGTTGCTCCTGTGTCAAGCCACCCTGCCTTGGAGCCAGCTGATTATGGACTGAAACCTCCGCAAATAGTAAGCTAAATAAATCTTTTCTTCCTTCATTTTGGGTGTCAGGTATTTTGTCTCAGTAACACGAGAAAACTAACCAAGACATGTTGTTAAAACAGCAATACCCCCAAATTGATCTACAGATTCTACATGATAGGTTTTTATTTTTTGCAGAAACAAGATCATCCTAAAATTCATATACAAAGGAAAGGTACCTAGAACAGTCAAAGCCATCTTGTAAAGGAAGAATCAAGTTGGAAGACTGATATTTTCTGACCTTAAAACCTATGAGAAAGATAAAATAATCATGGCAATATGGTACCAGCTTAGAGGTAAATAGAATAGAACTGAAAGTCTAAAAATAAAGGTATGAAACCTATGGATAACTAATGTTCCATAAGAGCACTAAGATCACTCAATATAGAAAGAAAAGGGTCTTCAACATGTGATTCCAGGACAACTGAAAAAATACATACATATATATATATATATATATATATATATATATATATATATGAATTAATCTGGATACTTTCCTTACACCATACATAGATACTAACAAGACAGGTCACAGATCTAAATATAAGAGTTAAAACTTGGACAAATTACAGAAAGAAACCTTTGTGACCTTGGCTTAGGTACTTTCTTTAAAATGACACCCAAAGTAAAAGCAATGGAAAGAAAAAAAAAACTGGACTTTATTAAAATTTAAAACTTTTGATTTTCAAATGACACCAAAAGGAAAGTAAAAAGACAACCCAGAATAGAAGAAAATATTTGCAAATCATTTATCTGAAGGATTAGGTATTCAGAATATATAAAGTACACTTACAGCTTAACCATAAAAAGACAACACATTTAAAAATGGAAAAGGATTTTTAAACAGATTATTTTTCTAAAGATAGAAAATAATGACCTCACATGGAAAATGTTCAGCATTATAAGCTATCAGGGAAATACAAACAAAACAACGAGATACTATTCACACACATTAGATTGGCTATAATAAAAAAAAACAAGCTTTGGCAGAAATGTGGACAAGTTGGCATCCTTATACTTTATTATTGGGAATGTGCAGCCACTTTAGCAAAGTCTACCCATCCTCAAAATGTTAAATACTAACTTGCAATGTGACCAGTGATTCTATTGCTAGGTATATATTCAAAAAACTGAGAACATATATTTATACAGGAACTTGTATACAAATATTCATAGCAGTATTATTAATATCCAGAAAGTAGAAATCAGCTAAACTTCCACTAGTTGAGACATGGATAAATAAAATGTGTTGATACAATGGAGTATTATTCAGTTGTAAACAGTACATGGTACAACATGAATGAACTTCAACATCATTATGATAACTCAAACAATCTAAGACAAGTCTCATTATCATATGATTCCATTTACACAAAATTTACTGAAGAGGCCAGGTTAGAGGGACAAAAAAGAGATGAAGCATTACTTGGGTCTAACGGTTGAAAGGAAGTGGAGAATGACTAAAATGGATATAAGTATTTCTTTTCAAGATGATGAGAACGTTCTTGAATTGCAGGAATGGTTGTACAATTCTGTGAAAATGACAAAAATACTGAATTACATACTTCAAACACATGAATTCTATGATAGGTGAATTGTATTTTTTTAATTAAAAATCAGTGACGCTGACCAGCTGTTAGCTGGTACAGAGAAAGGCAGGCTGAAGTGGTGGAGTGGTTGCTTTCAGTTTTTCTGTCTGTACATTCATCCCTTCCTTCTGGAGTCTCCTTGCCTGCTTTAGAGTCGCCTTCACTGAGATGGATGACACAGGTGTTCATGGAGAGCCCAAGAAATTAAACATTTCCTCCCGTGAAGAGTCTGAGACTAAAGGGCAGAAGACAACACAAGAGAGCAAGGAGGCCCTGAGCCAAAGCCCTGAAAGTAAATTTCAGCCCATGAAGACCTCAAGCCCACGCCACGGAAAGGATGAGTTTCAACACGCAGAGACCCCAAGTGAAAGCCCCAAGGGCAAGGCTGACCATGAGAAGATGCCACGAAATCCTGAGACGGGTGAGACTAGACGTGCAGAGATTCCTAGGACACCCTCAAAGAAAATACCCAAACGTGGTACCTCTCAGGAGGAAGGTGAGGCATGTCTAGTGGTTCTACAGACTCCAGGGGCAGCACCTGTCACAAGTCCTTCGACAGCAGTACATGCCACCCATGGAAGCAGCCCGCTGCAGGATGACAAGCCCTCTACTTCCAAAGGTCCTCTGGTGAGTTCTTCAAAAGGGAAGGCCCTTTCCCAGAGCGCTAAGCATTTGCAGCTTACCACTATTCACCTCATGGATGAGGCCTCCTCACTGTCTCTAGTCAAGGTTAATCCTTTTACTCCTGAGTCCTATAAGAAATTATTCCTTCAATCCACGGGCAAGAGGAAAACCCCAGGAGATCCGGAGAAAACTGATGAAGAGGAAGGCCAATTACAAGGGCTTCCTGCTAAGAAAAGTGTTCTACAAGAAACTAACATGGCTTCCCGCTATGAAAAGGAATTTTTGGAGCTCGAAAAAATTGGAGTTGGGGAATTTGGTATCATCTACAAGTGTGTTAAGAGGCTGGATGGATGTATTTATGCAATAAAGCGCTCTACAAAACCTCTGGGAATGTTATCAAACGAAAATGCGTGCTTGCGTGAAGTTTATGCTCATGCAGTGCTTGGGCAGCACCCCCATGTAGTACGCTATTACTCCTCCTGGGCAGAAAATGACCATGTGATCATTCAGAATGAGTACTGCAGTGGTGGAAGCAAGCTGCTATATCTGAAAACACGAAGTCTGGTAATCATTTCCAAGAGCCAAAACTCAAAGACATCATTCTGCAAATTTCCTTGGGGCTTAAGTACATCCACAGCTCTGGCCTGGTGCACCTGGACATCAAGCCTAGCAACATCTTTATTTGTCATAACACACGAAGTGATTGTCCTAGAGTCCCAGAAGAGGCTGAAAATGAAGCTGACTGGTTTCTCTCTGCCAGTGTAATATATAAAATTGGTGACCTGGGCCGTGTGACGTCAATAAGAAAACCCCAAGTGGAAGAAGGAGATACTCACTTCCTAGCTGATGGGATTTTTCAAGAGAATTATTAACACCTTCCCAAAGGTGATATATTTGCCCTGGGATTAACAATTGCACTGGCAGCTGGAGCCAATACTTTACCCAGTTGTGGTGAAGACTGGCACTGGATCCATAAGGGTAACTTTCCGATGTCCCTCAGAAGCTCACAGAAGATTTTCACAATTTTCTCAAGAATATGATCCACCCTGATCCAAAGGAGAGACCTTCTGCAGCAGCCCTAGCCAAAAGTCAAGTTCTCCGGCCCTCCCTGAGCACCACAGAAGAGCTCCAGCGGCAGCTCATCTTGGAAAAGTCTAAGATAGCCGCACTGGAAAGGGAACTGAGAAAAATCCAGCAGGCCAGGTCCTCCCAGGGAGACCTCCACCCTGATAATCCTGAGGTCTCTGCGGGCCAAACAGAATCAAGAAGTCCAAAACACCTGGCGAGAAGAAAGAGAGTGAAGTCTTCAAGTTTATTGATGAACAATCTTCCCCATAAGAACTCACTTCCCACCAGCCAACTTTATACTATAAACCCTCCAGAAAGATATTGATCACCCAACTTTCCTCTTTCAAAATGGAAAAACTAACCAATTTAAATGGCCAAAGATTTCAAAAGTCATCTTAATGTAGCATTTAGAGTCAAGATTACAAATCTACTAAAGCTTTTTATTCACAATGGTTTAAGGTACAATAACTGGTAGCCATTTTTCTTCCCAATTGTTATATTCCTAATGCTACCTATCAACAACTTACATTTTCTAATTAATGAGAATACATGGGTCTCTTAAAGAAAAGAACAGGCTTTGACTTGGTCTGTGGACTAAAAATGCTGTTGCTAATTTCTCACCAAAGATCTCCGAAAGAAAAAGTTTGGCTTGAGTTGAAGTAAGACCCTACAAGAAAATGTGTGTGGATTTAGACAGTGCTTCCCATGTTATATGATGCTATTCCTAAAAAAGAATTTCTAGCCCCTCTGAGTAACAGTTTTTGTAATTATTTTGTGGATGGAGACACCTTTCCTGACATTGTATTTAGTAAATTAATAGCTTTACCACTATGTGAGGTGAGGACTACAAATTGCATGGATATGCCTGAGCTGGTGAAACAAAACTTGTGAAACAAAAACACTGCAAATCGAGAGCTCAAGATGCAGTTGTTCTGTTTCAGTCAAGTTGTCTTAACCCTCTTGTGGCTGTTGATTGGTTTTGACTTTCTGGATATCACTTCTTTCTCTTGATTTTGCAGAATGTGGCCTTATTTCCTGTGATTTTAAGGATATTTTTAATCCAAATCTTTCTCTGTGTACATTTTAAAGCACAAAGCTATTTGTAAATAAAGGTTTTATCTTGTCCAAAGATGAAAAAAAAAAAAAGTGACGCTGAGGAGGTTCCAAGAACAGGGGAACAGCAGTAAGCAGCAGACAAAGTGCCTTTCAAAGAACCACTGTTCAGACTCTGGAACACAGAAATGTGATGAAGACAAGGAAGAGGAAACTAGGTGTTCTGGACCCTGGAAGAATCTGAAATATGAATTGAAGCCCATGGAGAGTGAAGAGAGAAACAACAAAGGAGGTAGACAGTGGCAACTTCTCCCTGAGACGGGATTCATTGTGCAACAAGAGTGGTTCAAGTCTGCAGATGGTTCAGGGTGACGATGATAACCAGTGACCCCAGAAACCTCTGTGGAGAGACATGGCAGTGGAATGGATGGGCAGATGTGGAGGGGAGCAGTGGATGTGAAGGACTGCACTGACTGGCAGTGAGTGCAAGGGTCTATCTTGCCACCAGGAAAGAGCAATTGGCCTGGAGCCATCATAGGGATAGGCAGCCTAAGATCTCAGAACTGTGTCTGGCTCCATCTAGTTGCTCACTGCAGGGCTGAGACCCATGGAAGGTGCTCAGAAGCTAGTGATCCAAATGCAACTGACTGGTCTCCATCAGAAAGTTAAGGCTTACTGGGAGTACCCACGACCTCACCAAAAAGCTACTGCTGGCTTGCTGAGAGAGATCAACATGGATCAGGACTCTGTATCCACAGGTTGTCTGTCAGTGAAAGCAGAGACAAACCTGGACAAATATAGAACTGGACTTTTTTACTTTTCTTTTCTTTTATTCTGTCTTTTCTCTCTTCTTTTCCAATTTGTTTTTGAAATTTAGTTTTAGTTTTCTTTTCTTTCTCTTGTTTTCACTTTCATAGTTTGATCTTGTTTTTATATAAGTATGAATGTGGTTTCTAGCCTCTCTGTGCCTCTTTTCATCTCTTCTTTACTCTTTCCCTCCAGTCTTCCAAACCAGTTTCCCAAAGTTAGTGTGATTCCCCCTTGGTCCTCCAACCTTACTTCTAATTTCTTCTGCTTCCTCCAATTCTCTATTTTCTCCTTGAAGTATTCTAAATATTACTGCCTGAGGGTAAAACTGACATACTTGACATACCAGTGTAAACTGAAAATCATTTTCTGGATTGTTTTACTGATTAGGAGAGCTAAAGAAAGTCACTGAATCTTCAAAAAGAGAACAATTCAAGAGGAAGAGATAACAATCATAAATATACATGCAACAAATACCAGTGTACTCAATTATATAAAACAAATAGTAACAGATATGAAAAATCTACTAAGCCCTAATACAATTGTATTAGGAGATATCAAAATCCCACTGTCACAAAAAGACAGATCAACTAGACAAAAAATCAATAATCAAATACTAGTACTGAACTAAACTTTTGAACAAACAGACTTAGTAGGTGTTTATAGAATGTTCCATTCTTCTCAGCTGCACACAAGATATTCTCCAAAATAGACTACATACTAGACCACAGAACATGCGTCAGTAAATGCAAAGGAATTGAAATTACTCCACGCATACTATCAGACCAGAGTGTATTGCAATTGGAAATCCATGGCAAAAGAAACCACAAGAACTTCACAAACATGTGGAAATTAAGTATCACCCTCCTGAACAACCAATGGGTCACTAATGAAATTACAAAAGAAATTAGACACTTTTTACAGTTGAATGATAATGACAACAGAAAATACTATAACTTATAGGACACAGTGAAAGCAGTCCTGAGATGGAAATTTATAGTAGTAAACACCCACCCACATAAGGAAAACAGAGCAAGCATATATAAACAACTTAATGGTGAACTTCTGGAAAGAGAAGAGCAGGTTAAGCCAAAATCTCATACAAGGGAGGAAATTATAAAGATCAGAGCAGAAATTAATGCTCTGAAGGCTAAAAAAATACAAAAATCAATGAATTGAAAAGTTGGCTATTTGAAAAATTAAATAAAATTGACAAATCTTTATCCAAATTTATCAAAATAAGAAAACACTCAAATCCAAAAAATTAAGACTGAAAAGGGTGAAATCACAACAGACCCTGCAGAAATCCAGAAGATCATCTACAACTACTTTGAAAACTTTTACTCTAACAAGATGGAATATACATAAGAAATACAGATTCCTAGATACCTATGAATTACCAAAGCTGAATCAAGAAGATATAAACTTTCTAAATAAATCAGCATCAATCAATGAAATTGAAGATGTAATTAAAAATCTACCAACAAAGACAAGCCAAGGCCCTGATGCATTCACTGCTGAATCCTACGAGAAATTTACAGGAGATTTAATTTCAATCCTCCTCAAACTCTTTAATGAAATTGAAAGGAAAGCAATACTCCCTAACTCATTTCTGGAGGCAAGTATTATCCTGATATGAAAACCAAAGAAAGACTCAACCAAGAAAGAGAAGTACAGGCCAATCTGGCTAAAGAACAGAGATGCAAAAACCATCAATAAGGTACCAGCAAACAGAATACAGAAAATCATCAAGATGATTACACATTATGACCAAGTGAGATTTATCATGGGAATTCAGGGATGGTTCAATATATAGAAATCAATAAATGGAAATACAGCATATGAATAGAGCCAAGGACAAAAATCACATAATCATCTCAATAGACACAGAAAAAGCATTTGACAAAGTCCCAAATCCATTAATAAGACAAACTCTAAAGAAAACTGGAATAGATTTTATTATAGTCTTTATCTGATAAAATCCATCTATGACAAAATGGTCAAAATCCAACAATGAACTATTAGAACTTAACCAAACTTTTGAATAAACAGACTTAGTAGATGTCTACAGAGTTTCTCCCCATAGCACCAAAATACACATTCTTCTCATCTGCACCTGGGACATTATCCAAAATAGATCTTATAAAACACACTTAATTAAATGCAAAGTAATAGAAATTATCCCATGAATATTATCAGACCATAGTCCAATGAAACTGGAAATCTATGGCAGAAAAAACTACATGAACTTTATGAACACATGGAAATTAAAAAACACCCTCTTAAACAAACCAATGGGTCACAGATGAAATTAAGGAAGAAATTAGGCAGTTTCTACATTTAAATGATAATGACAATACAACATACCAGAACTTAAGGGACACAATGAAAGTAGCCCTAAACTAAAAATTTATAGCAGCCAATACCCAAATCAGGAAAATAGATCAAGCACAAATACATAATTTAAGAGTGAACCTCAAACTTCTAGAAAAAGAAGAGCAGACTAAGCCAAAAGCTTGTATGAGGGAGGAAGTTATAAAGATCAGAGCAGATATTAACACAATTGAGACCAAGAACATGATACAAAGAACCGGTGAATCAAAGAGTTGGTTCTTTGAAAGATTAAATAAAATCAATAAATCCTAACCCAACCTTATCCTAAAGAGGAAAAAAAAAAGACTCAAATCGAGGTAATTAGGGATGAAAAGGTTGAAATCACAATGGACTGTGTAGAAATCCAAAAGATTGCCATGCCTGCTTTGAAAACTTCTTTCTAGCAACCTGGAAAATGTAGAAAAAAAATGGACAGAATGCTGGATACATATGAATTACCAAAGCTGAATCAAGAAGATATAAAAATCCTAAATAAACCATTATTAATCAATAAAATTGAGGACATAATTAAAAACCTACCAACAAAGAAAAGCCAAGGCCCTGCTGAATTCTGTAGAAATGTAGAGAAGACTTAACACCACTACTTAAACTCTTGAATAAATTGAAAGGGAATCAATACTCCCAACTTCATTCCTGGAAGCAAGCATTACCATGATACCAAAATCAGAGAAGGACACATCTAAGAAGAGAATTAAAGGCCAATTTCTCTAATGAACATTGATGAAAAACTCAGGATACTGGCAAACAGCATGTAGCAAATCATCAAGAAGGTTATACACCATGATCAAGTGGGGTTCATCCCAGGGATGCAGGGATGGTTCAACATACACAAATCCATAAATGTAATACATCATATTAACAGAGCCAAAGTCAAAAATCATACGACCATCTCAATAGATCCAAAAGTTTTTGACAAAGTCCAGCACTTGTTCATGATAAAAATCCTACAGAAAAATGGAATATATCATCTTTATCTCAAGCTGATGAAAGCCATCTATGACAAAGTAACAGCCACCATCACACCAATTAGACAAAAACTAAAAGCTTTCACTTTAAAATTAGGGACAAGACAAGGATATCCATTGTCTCCACTCTTATTCAACATAGTCCAGGAAACTTTAACCAGAGCAATTAGACAAGAGAAAGACATAAGTGTAATAAAGATAGAAAGGAAGAAGTTAAACTATTGCTATTTACAGATGACAAGATACTCTACATAGAAGACCCCAGAAACTCTACTAAAAAACACAGATTTAATAAGCAAATTCGGTAGCATAGCTAGATACAAAGTCAACACTCAAAAATCAATGAATACCCTTCCTATACACGAATAACAAACTCACTGAGAGAAAAATGAGAGAAACAACACCTTTCACAATAGCATCCCCCAAAATGAAGTACCTAGGAATCAATTTAACAATTGAAAACTACACTACTCTGAAAAAGGAGATTGAAGATATTAGAAAATGGAGAACTCTCCTGTGCTCTTGGGTAAGAAGAACGAATACAGTGAAAATATTCATACTTCCAAAACTGTTACACAGATCCAAGGTAATCCCAATCAATATTCCAATAACTTATCTCACAGAATTAGAGAAAAGAATCTTAAAATTCCTCTGGATCCAGAAGAGACCTAGAATAGCAAAGGCAATCCTGGGCAACAAAGGCAAGATGGAGTATCACAATCCATGACCTAAAATTATACTATAAAGCTACTGTGATAAAAACAGCATGGTACTGGCAAAAAAAAGAGACCTGAAGATCAATTAAATAGATTAGAAGATGAAGAAACAACTCCAGACACACTAAGCCACCTTATCTTTGACAAAGGTGCTAAACACATTCACTAAATAATGATAGCCTCTTTAATAAATGGTGCTGGAAAAACTGGCTCTGCACGTGTCAAAGATTAAAGTCAGCCTTGTACCTTTCACCATGCACTAAAGTTAATTTGGAGTGAATCAAAGATGTAAATACTAAAACAGAAACAATAAATCTGCTGGAAGATAGAGTAGGTAAAACTCTGGAAGACATTTGTATAGGCAAAGACTTCATTAACAAAATCTCACTTGCACAGGAACTATTATAAAAAAATCACAAAGTAGGATTTCAACTAATTAAAAAGCTTTTGCACAGCAAGTAAAACTACCAACAGAGCAGAGGCAACCCAAAATGTTGGAGAAAATGTTTACCAGCTGTTCCTCAAAGGATTACTATTGAGAACATATGAAGAACTCAAATCAGTTCTCCCAGATTTAAAGACCCAACCCAAAAATGAGTATCTAGGATGAAAACACAGTTCTCAGATAAAACACAAACTGCAAATAAATATATGAAAAAAAGTTCAACATCCCTGGTTATTTGAGAGATGCAAATTAAAAAAACACAGATTTCATCTCACCTAGGAAAGAACGGCTATCATTAAGTAATCAACCAATAACAAATACTGGAGGGGCTGTGGGGAAAAAGGAACCCCTCTCCACTGTTGGTTGGAGTATAGACTAGTGTCATCACTGTAGAAATCAATATGGAGATTCCTCAAAAAACTAGGATTCATTCAACATAGGTATTTCTCTTCTGAATATCTTCCTAGAATTAAAAACATCATATCACAGTGATATACATGCACCCATACTTATAGCAGCACAATTAGTAATACTTAGACTTTGGAAACAACCTAAATGCCCTGAGGAATGGATAAAAAAATGTGGTATTTTTCTACAATGGAGTACTACTCAGTCATAAAGAAGAATAGACTTGAGACTTTTATAAGTAAATGGATGCAACTTATAGTCATATGTGAAATAAATCAGACACACAAGTGTAAACACTATATTGTCTCACTAGTGTAAGAAGGTGAAAGAAACCATATATACAAAAGGTAGTTAAGATAGTTATACTACTGATGTCTCTGGGTTCATTGAAGAGAAATGTCTATACTACTATTGCTTGGATGATTAAACACAGATGTCTTATACTCTGAGTAACTGATCTGAAGATAAAAATATGCAATGTATATACCATTGTTACCTCCTAATTATCATGTTTTGTAATTTTGTTTTATTTTTTCTTTAAAATAAAAAATCATAATAAAATAATTGGAAATATTTGTGCTATATTTATAATTTGCAATTTCTATAATTTTAAAAGCAACTCATTAAAATAAGTTGATTAAAAGCATAATTTTCTGGGAACCATATGCATCTGAGATTAATACTGTATTACTGTAGTTGGGTGCCTCCATTTTCATGCAGAGTAAATAATTTAGTGACCAAAAAAAGACTGAAAAGAAGTATTAGTAATTCTTTCAATAGATTCTCTGGTTTCCATCTGGATTAGGTATAACTGGCTCATTACTCTTGAGTAGTACAATGCCCTGAATAGCTAGTAATGTAGCCCTACAACATTATAAAATTTAACACTATTATATGATTTTTTAAATTATATGTTCCATGACTCTACTGTGTGGTAATCAACCACAGACTGTGTAGGCAACAATGAAACATTGTTAGAGGAGTACACAATGGAGTGTTAACTCTCCTTTTGTATCTGCCACAAATAGTTAAACTAAAACCCATGTTTACCAGGTATTATATGTGCTTGAATAGTAAAATTCAGTGATTACCAATAATAGTATTTCAACCTAGATACACATGTATGTGTGCCTGTGAAAACATGTCAGTTTCCTTATTTAATTATTATACTTATTTAATTATTATACTTGTGTTGTGTTACTTTGTAAAATAATTTAATAAATTATAACAAAAATTAAGAAAATTTTATTGCTAATTTTTATTAACTATATTGTGAATTTTATACATAGCCCAAGAAAATTCCTCTTTATTCAATGTAGCCTGTGTAAGCTAAAATGCTGGACACTATAATCTACATGGGTATTGAAAACTAAAAACAATTAATGGAGATCACTTTAAATAGCCAAAAGATATACATATCAAGAACCACAAAAATGTTTCTGCATTTTGATTATTAATGCCATTCTTGGAAATACAAAGAAAATAAGAAAAACATAGTAGGTACAAAAACATAATAGTACCTTTACTGCCATATAAATCACTAACTCAGTATTACTTAGGGTATTTGCCACTGGTTTAAGTCTATAAGCACACTATTCTGTTCCACTGACATTATTTTCATAGCAAGACAATCTCAAATAAGGAAAGCACATCATGGAATGACATTTTTCAATAAGCTCCTTATCTAGGAGCAAAATAGCACTCTGAGCAATACAGCTCTAAAGAAACCAAGAGTCCAAAATGAAGACATGATTAGCTAACCTATGATATATTAACTCAATGAAATACTACAGGAGCACAAAGTGAACTAAAAATAGCTAATAATTATTCATTCACCTCTCACTATATGTCAGACACTGTACAAAATTCTTTCCATAACTCTTTTAGCCTGGTAATCCTAGCTTCTACTATCATCTATTTTTTCAGACTAGAAAGCAAAACTAATGTCACCATTTTTATCAGTTTTGTAAAAATATTAACCTTAGATGGATAAATTTAAAAGTGTTTTTTTGGATACACCTTGCAACTATAATGTTAAGTAAAATAAATCAGACACACAAGCTTAAATATCACCTGGTTTCTTATATGAGAAACCCTGAACATAAATAAACAACAAAATAAAAGATAAATAATAGGGCGATAGATCTTTTGTAAAAGGGACAGGAACCAAGAAATGGAGGGAGAGGTAGGGAAAGAAGGGGAAGGGTATGAAAAAAAGAAAGAAAATGTGTCATGCACATGTATCAACTCTCCACCAGGAATGTGATCATTATTTACTATAAACATGTAATGATAAAAACCAAAGGATAAAATAACAGAAAAACTATTGGTTCCCAAACTTGAATGTGCAGTGGGATCCTCGGGAGGTCTTGTGAAAACAAAGATCCCTGGGCCTCACACCCAGAGTGATTCAGTATGTCTGGGTTAAACTCAAATATCTGCATTTATAACAAATGTAAACATTTGTCAGGTGATCCTAATGCTGCCAGTCTAGGGACCTCACTGTGAGAACCAGAGTTTTTAAAATACTAGCATCATCCTAAATTTAAATACCACTGCATAAATCAGTTAAAAATAAATGTTGCATTTTTTGGATTATTTTAACATGTTAAATAGGTTGTTGACAAAATGAATAAACCATTAGATGGAAATCATAACATCATTCATTATTTGGAAGAACACAATAGTGAAATTTCTCAATTCAGAGCCACAAACTTTCTTCAGAGGTCAAATAGTTATACTTGCAGTATATACTGAAAACATCAGCTATCTGGTTATCTCCAAACAAACCTGTTCTAAATTGTTAAACAACTGTTAAGCTTTTGGAACTCAGTCTTGTTAAAAAAAAACTAATTTAGAGTGCAGAATAGTTACAATTACTAGGAAGAAATCATTCATACAGGCAGACATTACCAGAGGTAATTTTCATAGCTCAGATTACAATTAGCTTCCATAAGGAAGTACTATTTTACTCTCTTGAAAATTTGACCCTAATTATCCAAGTAATCTGTTACCATTTTGGTCCACATGATGACCATTGAAACATACCTATATTTCTGACCATGATTCCTTTCAGTTCATCCACTTGGGCTTGAGTCTCCATTACTTTGTCTAGGCCTTTATTCTCAGAGTGATGTTTCTATAAGAAAGTAAGTTTTAACTTATGGTAACCAGATATTATTTATAATAGAAAGACAAAACCAAGGATACAATTTATATTGAAGAATGCTGTAAGATTACACCTGTATTACACAAAAGGTAACTGTCACTTTACTAAAAACAAAGATATCAAACTAGGGGAAAAATTAGCTACATAAAAATGTTTCCATATGAAATATAGTAGAAATATAGTCATCTTAATAAAGTAAAATATATTATAGTATATCAAACATACAGCGAATACTCTTGGGGCATAAATGAGGGGATATATAACCTATGTTTAGAGAAGGAAAAAAGGAGAAAAGAAGACTGCAGATGGGGCAAGCAAGACAGGACGGGAAAAGACGTTGGACATGCCTGCTTTTTGAGCATGCTGTTTCTTAGCATCTGAGGTTCTGTCTTCTGTGACCATAACATGCATCCTATTTTCATTGGCTTCTCACAGGATTTAGAATCTAAGACACTGATAATATACACTTTGAAATTATTATCCACAATTAACAGTTATGAAATGTTTAATACACAATACTCCCACCACTTCATTGTGCTAAGTGCTTCAAATGAGATATTACTTTATCCACCCAAAAACTCTGCAACGAAGATACTTTCATTACCTTTACTGACAGACAAGGAAACTGACATCTATTTGTTCAAGGGGTTATACACAGATCTGGAGCTAATGATAAACCAGCTAATTTGAATGTTTTGCTGCCAGTCAACCCTACTTACTTTTGACTGCATTTTAGTTGGTGGTATTTTGCGTAACTTCACGTATAAGAACATTTCCAATTGGACATATGAGGCAAATCAATCAAACCAACTGCTTGCCTAATAAAGGTTTATAAATATCTAATTTCAAGAAACTTCATTTCTAGAGCAATGAAGAAATGAGTTTGCATGTATGTGTGTGTGTGTGTGTGTGTGTGTGTGTGTACGATACTCAAAAGGTTTTAAAAAGATCACAGGAGAAAAGTATTCAATTACAAATGTCTTTTTTTCAAAAGTCAAAAAATAATCATAGCTAGAGGTTATATATTTGTAATCAAATAGTTTCATGAATAAAAGGTAAGCATTTTAAAAGTTGCTTAACATCTTAAATCCTGATGCAAATATAAAATAAAACCACAGTGAAGTATCACTGCACATCAACTAGAATGATTACAGAAGTGTAGACAAGGGTACAAAAGCAATGAAACTACTGGTGAGAATGTAAAATGGCACAAACACTGTGGAAAAAAGTGTAATAAATTTTAAAATTACACATCACTTACCATAGGACCCAGCAATTCCATTCCAAGGTATTTATCAAAAAAAATTAAAAATTAAAACATATGTCTACACAAAGACTTGTACATGGAGATTCATAACAGCTTTACTATGATAGTTGAAAACTGAAAGTGACTCAAACATCTAACACAGGTAAATGGACAAACAAATTGTGGTATATGAGTACAATATTACTCAGCAAAAAAGAATCAGACTACTGATTTACACAGCATGGATGTGTATCAAGTCTTATACTATGCAAAACAAGCAAGACAGAAGAGTAGTACATACTGTATGATTCCATTTATAGGAAACTCTAGAAAAGACAAAACTAATTTACGGTGACAGAAAATAAATCAGTGGCTACCTGGAGCAGAGTGTGTTTTGAGGAAGAACAGACTGGAAGGGACAGAACAGAAATTTTAGGACAATCTATCTTGATTATGGTAGCATTTCAAAGGGACATAAATACATAAAGCATCATTGATCTGACAAGAGATTTATACAGATGAACAGACTTTAAAATGATTAACCTGAGCTGTTCAAAAACGGAATGGTAGAAAGCTCATGCATAGATTAAAAGGTCATTTGGTATGCTGAATGGTTTTAAACATTAGATGGGTAGTTGTACCAGATGATTTTTAATATTCTTCCCAATCTTGAGATATTCTAAACACTATTAATACTGAGTATCATCAATTATTAGCTTTCCACCCTAAGATGCCCTCTTTATATTTTTAACAGAGAGGTATGCTGGTTTACAGTAACACAATCAGAAAAGTGTACTACAGGTCAGGGACCCTATGTTCATGGTGCTTTAAGGTAAAAGAAAATATGAATGAAAACATTTTTTCTTAAGGGAGATCTTACCAGCTGAGCGGCCAAGACACTTGAGAACTCACTATTCATGGCATATGGAAGTGCTGTCTGTGCTCTTGAACCGTAAGTAGTCTGAAACCTCTTCTTTACTTCATTCAGAAAATTGAATGCTCGAGAACGTTCAAAATCCTAGAAAGTCACCAATACAGAACTTATTTTTACAGTATAAACAAAGACAATGTGGATGATTAGCAATAACAACAATAAAGCAGATGTTTAATAGTCAGTGACTCTGAGGGGGAACTAATACTGATCTCATTTAAGAGACAAAGAAGAAAAGACTCTGAAAAGGTAGCCAACCTGACAAAGGTCAAACAACAGTAAATAAAAGAGCTAAGACTCAAATCCAAATATTTCTTGTGATTGCTAACTGAAGATAATGGTACTTAGGTTATCAACTTCTTAAAGTCAGGGTTTTACTTCCCTCATACCTCTCATAGGCTCTCCATGAAGATCCAGTATAAAATATATAAAGAGTATATAAAGTATAAAAGAGTTTTTTATATGCAAAGATAATGCTATTAACAGGAGCTTTGAATATATTTTTCTAATAGTGATGGTACACTTGAAAAAGTCAAGTGACACATCTTTGTCCAGCCCCAGTCATTCAAAAAGTTTGTATGAGCATATGTGCATGTGTGTGTATTGAATTATAACTCAAGAAATATGAGGCTCAACTTTGACCACTGTAGATTTTGTGATATTTTAAATGTTTCCAAGTTTCATGTAAGTAATTTTAGAGACACAGTATACCCCTGTGAAATTACAGTTCAAAGTTTACAATCACATTTGTTCAGATTTTTCCTAAAACCTAACAAATAATTGTTGGTAGAAACTCTTGCAATTTCATGGAAACCACAAATATGCTCTGCAATTGTTTTTTGGTGGGAAGGTCTGCAAGTAGCCAATCTGAGAACATTATCCAGTTCTTGCTGCTGACTGGCAGCTGCCCTGTAACCCACCTAAGGCAGATGCATCAGCATTCCTACATCTATTTGGGGGAAAGGGGCAACAGGAATTGAACTCAGGACCTCATGCTGCCAGGCAGGTGCTGCACCACTGAGCTAAATCCCCAGCATTCCCATATGTTAACAGGTTGCTATATATATAGCTATCTCCAGTGTTCGTGGTTTTGTTCTTAAAGCCCTAAGATCCCTAAGATGCTGCTGAAATGCCCTGTACCTTCTAAGGCTAAAGTCTTAGAAAAATACAGTATTTTATTAATTAAATTATACACCTGCAGAAGACATAGGATATTTAAGGTTTAAATTACGAAACTAAGCATTTATAGGCAATTTATAGGCAATTTTCTGATCATACCTTAAATTCATGGTTTTTCACAATTCTCAGGTCCCATAGGAACCTAACCCCCATGAATTTCGGGGTCTACTGTAGTTTGATATTTTTTCTAATTTTAGAAAATACCATGAAATCAGAGCTAACAATTTGATGACTGCTATGATTGACAGTTATTTCCATTTCACCCAAGATGTTTAGTCTAAGCCAAGCATTTCACAAACTGAAATCAATGACCAAATTTCAACAATATAGGGGAAAAGTCTCTGGATAGAACAAAAAAAATCTCATTGTCATTTTCTTTTCTTTTCTTTTTTTTTTTTTTTTTGAGACAGGGTCTCTCTGTGCAGTTTAATAGTCAGCCTTGACCTCACTTTGTAGCATAGGCTGATCTCGTACTCACAACAATCCTCCTGCCTTAGCCTGCTGAGTCCTGCGATTATAGGCATGAGCCACGATGCCTGGCATTATTTTCAACCTTTAACAGTCATATCCTTTTCATAGAATAAATATTGAAGTTGCCAAAGATTAAGCTAAAAGTCTAGAAACTGAATTGTTTTGTACAATATCAAAGCATCAAGTTTTGTCAAATGCTGCTCTGTCTGACAAATGGAAAGGGTAGAATACAATTTACAGCCACAGAAAGTTTCTATCACCTTTACCCACTACAGGCAGGGATATCTAAGAACTGATGTTAAGTGGCAATATATGTCTTTTAAGTTACTTACATCATCAGTGATACAAAGATATACAATCCTGTCTTGGCAGATGTAATGAAACAAATAACTGTAAAAAAAGATAAAATTTACTATGGTTATAAGCAACATCTCTTTCATGTCTTGCTTCTAAGATTATCAAGTTCAGTGCTGCCAACATTATTTTATTGTTTACAGATACAATCTATCACCCTCAGGGTTAAACTGATAGGAGTGAAAAAAAAAGTGAAAGAAGTTTCCTACCCCAGCTATCAGCATGAAAGCATTTGCATCACCCATTAAGATGACAGATGCAGAAGTATGATAATTGCGGTCCTAACCCCAGAACAAAAGTTGGCATCTCTGCAGGCACACACAATGAAAAAGAATCCACAACAGGCCACACAGTTTTCATTCTTTTTCCCCAAGACTATATAAAGCATATACCTTTCTACCAATTTCTTTGTGACATTTATTTGAATATCTGCTTTGGGCCAGCTACTATGTTAAGAAGCATGGATTTCTATATGCTTCTTGTTCTCTTTTCCAAATGAGTTTGTTATTCTCAGTATAATGATTCTGTTCTTATTTCACCATTGTTTATAAGGTTGAGGCAGGTAAGTGGGGGAATCATTCAACTTGTCTTTCTGTTTATAGCCAGTGGGCCACAGGAATCACTCTTGGGCATGATGAAGAGGATTGTGTATTACTCAGAAATTCTGGATTTAGAACAAAACACAACAATTAGATGAATCTTTGTGGTGACTCTCAGAGAAAAGGCATGTTCTGTGTTTGATAAGAGTTCACCCAGATAACTAGATAGAGCAGAATGGAATACTTGAAGTCATCCCTCAATATCCTATAAGTTCCTGAATAGTAACAAGAGCTTTAGCTAAACGTATGACAGCATGGTGTTATTTTGTGGCTTCCTCTCTACCTGAGTTAGCTATATAACTATATAGCAAATAATAAAACACAAGCAGAAATTTCTGAATAATAAAATGTCAGACCACTTCTGGGCATTGCCTTTAAGAACGCTGGGAAAGCAGTGGGATGTAACAGGTACTAAAAGAAGCTGCACTGGCTAAAGCTGAAAGGCACTTATTGAGAATGGTTGAGGTATCCCATCCGCTCTAAACCATTCTTCTCTGGACTATCTTATTTAAATTAATTCCATATGTTGGGGTCTCTCTCATAGTAACTTAGAATGGACTCCAAATTGTAAAAGGGGTTAACCCTAGAAAATAATAAAAATGTCCTTCTGAGATAAGAACTAAGGAAATAAAGATGGTTTAAGTAACAAAACATTTTTAAGCATCAATGAGGAAGGCTAAAACACTAAGATTTCTTACCATAAACTCTCCATAAACCACAAGAGTAACCTTTCTAAAGCAACTGCTATCACATACTGGATGAAAATTTTCAGTACTTTCAAACTCTTCACATGACCTCTAGAGCTATACATGACTTGTCTTCTGTCTCTCTCTCTAGTTTTATCTTCACCATCCTGAGCACCAGTCACAGAGAAATTAATAGTTCCCTAAATCATCTCAGCCTCCATACATCTCTACTTGCTATTCCTTCTACCTGAAGTGCTATCCCCTTACTCACTACTTCCCATCCTTTACTATAATTATCTGTGGATTTAGCTGTCTCTTTCATTAAAAAATATAATCTCTAATAGGGCACACTACATTTTGTTACAATCCCATCACCAAGCAAAGTGCTTAAATTAATACAATTACTTACTAAAAGAATGAATAAAATAGTATTATTTACATTCTATAAATCATTTTGCCTATCCAAGAATCCACAGCAAAGTTATTTTTATATAAAATTTCCATATTTGTCTTTTAAATAGTATCACTTCAATGACAGAATAATCAGATGTTAAATTTATACATCATAAAACCAGATGTTTTCCAAACTGGTAAAGGTTACTGTTAGGTCAGCTTATTTAAATTAATCTACCTAGATGCTTGTTTTCTAGTTTTCTACTGTTCTGATTACAAGAGAATTCCTTTCAACACGCTACCACATGCAGAGCAGAACTCACTTGCCATGTGAATATGTTAGTTTGTTATTTTCAGAAGGTATCTTAGCCAGAATCTGCTCTGTCACCTCCAGGAAGTTTCCTCCACACCAAGCATGTTTGGCAAGGATAGTGGTTCCCCTGGCAACAACAGCAAAAAGAATGGCCATGGCTTCACTCTGTTAAAAGGAAAAACAAAACAAAAAAAAAAAAAACACACAAATTTAGAACATTTCTTTGACATGATCTTTCATAAGTTATTTATCAATATCCATTTGGATATTACTGAATGAAGTACTATAATGTGAAAATTTTAAATTAACAAGAGATTTAAAAGATGATGACAACAGCTCAATAGTAGAGAGTGTGCTTAGCATGTGAGGCCTGGATTTAATCTCTAGCACCAAAAAGAATCTATAATCTCTAAGGATGATTACCTTTAATATAAAGGGATTGTCTATAAAAGAAAACAAAGTGAAAGTAACCCAAACATTGCACAGGACAGCACTTATTTTATAATTTATGATAAGACCCTTCATAAGTAAAACATGTACACAACATGGCATGAACTTAAGATTATTTTCTTTATATATGGCTGTGAATATGTGCTGCATTTCCCCATGTAACACACTAGTTTAATTTAACAGAGATGAAAACACCTTACTATTCCTCAGTCTAATGTTACTGGTTAACATGTTCACTTTCACCTAACAGGTCAGTTATTTTACAACTGTAGTGAGAACATGAATTGCATCGGGTAGCACAGTTAAGAGTCACTTGCTGAAACTTCAAATTTTAGCATCTCCTATTTTCTTGCTGACTCTCTTTTCTACCTTACCTCTAAATGTTGACTTTCCTAAAGGACTGATCTACACTGTTTTATATGCAGATGAGCTCATCTGGACCTGCCATTTTAAACATGATTTATCTTAAGATATAATACATACCAAAAAAGAATAACGCCAATGACAAAACCGATGGCACAATCAACAGTTGAAGAAGAGGTAAAAGAATTGAGATGCATAAGAAAATAGAGGAGATCCAAGGGAAAGACAGGAAAGCCAGAAGAGTATGGTGACCCAAAGATGAAAGGCAAATAAATTTTCTGGAAGACAACATGTCAGCTACATTCACTGGGTGTTAGCTGACTTTGTTCATGCAGAAAATTAAGACTGTGAAACAGTCACTGAAATTGTAAAATAAGGAAGATACCCATTACTTAGGGTCAAAAAGATATACAATGGACTAAATTAAAAACATAGAGAAAGAGAGATAAAAAAATCATACAGCCCTCTTGACAGAAAGATGAAAAAGTAGTATCAGCCTACAGTCATGTGCAACTTCAAGAAATAAACTCAGCTTCACAAAAATATAAAAAGATATATTGTACAGTAGACTGAACATTCTTTATGAACCAAAATGATGAGGAAATTATTTAAAATGTTTACATAATCTTAAATTACATTAAGAAATAGGGCTACTGGATCTCTAAATATTATTGCCAGTACATTCTGTGCTGGTTAGTTTTACCTTCACCATCCTGAGCACCAGTCACAGAGAAATTAATAGTTCCCTAAATCATCTCAGCCTCCACGCATCTCTAACTGCTATTCCTTCTACCTGGAGTGCTATCCCCTTACTCTCGTGTGAAATACTGAATTCAGATCTGGGTATTGTACCTCAAGATTGGACAGAAGCAAGATACTACCAGTAAAAGACCTGGAAATTAAGACTTTATCAGGTGAAGAATGGCTGGAAGAACTACAGATATTTTCTGTCACAAAGAGAAGACATAAAAGGAACAAGCAGTTTTCAAGTTTATATAAAGTATGGTCACTTGAAATAGGGAACACATTATTCAGTGTATAACTAGGAACAATGGATAGAAGTTATATAGAAGCAATGTTTTGTTCAATAAAAGTAGTTCCCAATGAAAAATCACTGACTGTTAATCATTAGATAAGCAGCAATATAAACTGTCCTTCTGAATGTCACTAAAAAAATTTCTTCCTCTGCCATTTACCATCTTGTCCCACCTGCTCCCACTGTAACTCATGCAGTTCAAAGTATAATTGTATTCAGTATTGGGATTGCAGAAACAATTACAACAGAACAACAACATTGTATTTGAGATCAGAAAACCTGGTTCTACTAATTACCATACTAGTAGTACGTGAATGCTTAAAAACCATTCACACAATTTAAATATAATACTCAAGAAGAAAAAATGAAAAGCAGTCAGAAAGAAAAAAAAAAACAATCTGCAACAAATCCCTAACTTCACACTGTTCCTTCCTGTTCTCTTATTCACCCCTCATTGCATTATTACTAAGAATCCTGTTTTAGTTTCCGGTGGCTACAGTAACCAAATACCCAAAACTGAGTTGCTTAAAACAAGTATATATTATCTCATATTTCTAAGGCCAAAAATCTAAAATCGATGAGTTGTTATGGTCATGCTCCCCCTGAAATCTGTAGAGAACACTTTATTTCTTTTTAGGTTTTAGGTAATAAGCTAGAAGTTATTGGTGTTCTCTGGCGTGTTACTGCAGCACTTCATTTCTACTTCTGTGTTTTCACATAACATTTTATCTGTCTCTTCTGATTTTTAATTAATATGTTTGTGATACATAGTAATTACACTCATTTCATGGAATTGGTATGTATAATATATTGCATATTGATCACTTTTACTCCCTTCTTTCCTTCTTTCTCTCTCCTTCTTCCCCACATGCCGGTTCCATTTCTACAGTCTCCCTCTTTGTTTCCTTCCATTTCTCTTTTATTTTGCTCTTCATTTATATTTTGGGTTTCTCAAAGAAATAACAAAATATTTAACCTTCTGGGTTGGATATATTTCACTTAGTATTATGGTCTCAAAATGCACACATTTCCTACAAAGGACTCAAATGTACTTTTTTTACAGCTGAGTATTACTCTACTGTGTATATATACTGCATCTTCTTCATTCATCCAGGTTTACAAGCCACTTCCATAATTTAGCTATTATGAATTAGAAAGCTATAAACATGGGTATGTATGTATCACTGGAAAATAATGACTTTATCTCTTTTCAAAAAGATAACCAGAAGAAGTATAGCTGGGTCAAATAGAATTTATTAGTTTTTAGAGAAATCTCCATACTGATTTCCATAGTGGATGTAGTTTACATTCTCACCAATATAAAACCATTGATTCTTCCCCATAACCTTGCCAGCATTCGTTTTTTAAATCCTTGATGATCATCATTCTTACTGGAATAAGACAGAATGTCAGTATTCCTTTGATTTGTACTTCTAATGGCCAAAGATGTTGAACATCTGTACACGTACTTATTGGCCATTTGTCCTTCTTTTGGGAAATATCTATTAATTTCAATTGTCCATTTTTAATTGGATCTTTTATTTGGGGAGATCTATATTTTTAAAGTTCTGTTTTCTAGATACTAGGCTCTACCTGAAAAGTAGCTAGCAATTTTTTTCCCAATCTGTAGGCTGTCTCTTCATTCTATTGGTTTTTTCCTTTGCTGTGCAGCTTTTAATTTGACACAATCCAATTTGTTGATTCTTAGTACTATATTTTGTGTAACTGGGGTTCTGTTCAGGAAGTCCTTATCTATGCTTAAGTCTTTAGGAATTTTACCAACTTTTTTCTTCCACCACAGTCAGAATCTGATTTTATATTAAAGACAAAAAATAGGAATAAAACAGAAGTTTTTGTTTGTTTGCCTGCTTTTTGTCTTTTTGAGACAGAGTTTCACTAGGCAGTTCAGCCTGGCTTAAATTCTTTGTAGCCCAGGGTAGCTTCAAACTGACAGTGATCCTTTGGCCTCTTCCTCCCAAGTGCTGGGATCACAGGTGTGTGCCACCGTGCAAGTTAGCATTTGTTTTTATATCCGGATCTTTGATTCACTTTTATTTTAGTGCAGGGTGAGAGACATAGATCTAGCTTCATTCTTCTGCATGTGAATAATATTTTCTCAGCACCCTTTGTTAAAAAAGCTTTCTTTTGTCATGCATGCTTTGGCTCCTCAAAGATCAGAGGGCTGAAGGTGCCTGGGGTTGTTTCTCTATCCACTGTTCTATTCCATTGGTCAACAAGTCTGTTTTTGTGCTACCATCATGCTAGTTTTATTACTATAGTTTGGCGTATAACTTGAAGTCTGGGTTTATAATGCTTCTTGCTTTGTTCTTGTTGCTCAGGGTTGCTTTGACTATTCTGAGACTTTTCTGGTTCCATATAGATTTTGGGCCAGCTTTGGTGGTGAACACCTATAATCTCAGCACTCAGTGGGCCGAGGCATGAGAATTGCAGCAAATTCAAGGTCATGCTGGGCTACATAGTTCAGGGACAGCCTGTACTGTACTACATAACATAGCCTGTCTCAAAAAAAAATCAACAACAACACTTAGAATCATTTTTTTCTCGTTCTGTGAAAAATGCTATTGGTATTGTAAGAAGAAAATACGAATGGATCAAGGGTCCAATGTACTCAGTATGATCTCATTTTAACTTGCATCTTAATTATATCTGCCAAGACTCTATATTCAAATAAGGTTTCAGGGATCATGACCTCAATACAGCTTTTTGGAGGACACGATTCATCATATGAAAATCCCTATTTTAGAAACTCACTGTTTCTCCCAAATCAATCCTTGTCTCCCATTTATATACTGTATTTGTATCACTCCAACTAACTGCCCTCTCTTCTATAGTCTCCCCCCATCTTTTTTCTCAGTTATGTCAGAGGCCTGTCCTTAGAGATATGAGCCAGAAGGGTATTCCATATTAGTTTGTAATTAGAAGAGACTGTTTCTACTGTGTTAAAGTTCTAAGTAAAAGGTATTTTTGTTCCAGTTACCATAATTTCGAGATAAAATTATTCTATGGGGTAATCCAAATGAGAACTCTAAATATAGTTTTTATAGAGGAATCATAAACTGTAGAAAAGATTTTAGATTTCATTAAGTTATAGGTTAATAAGAAGTTACTGCTCAACATAACCATGTACATGTCATAGAATACTGTTATTTATAGAGGAAAATGCATCCAGAGTTTCAAATCATAAGCTTATAAAGAAACTTTGAGAATATATCCATTTGTGAGGAATTGTATAAAAAATTAAGTAATAAGATCACACAACATTGTATATGCTCTTCCTTAGCTGGGGTATCTTTAAGTAAAGATTTAAAGTTTCAGGGAATTGAATAGGTAAAAAGACCAAGTCAGTAGTCCTCACACTCAAGTCCATTATTTATTAGATATTTTTATTATGGCAACACTAAAAATGTATATGACTATTACAGATCACTTCCATGTATATCTTGTAACTGAGAAAAGACACGCAATTCACTAGTGCATTTATGCTTACATTTATGGGTGCTCATAATTTCCCAAAATAACAGTGTTTAAATTTTAATACCATGGAAATGTCTGGCTGATCTCAGCATAGCACATCCTAAATGTACAATGGCAAAAATAATCCAAGTCATCTTACATTTCTGTTGCCTTTTAAAATCATTTTTAAAGATAAAATTTGTCTTCCATAGTAACAATTTACAATTGAAATACATCTGTATAAAATAAGACTTTAAAATTTAAGAACTTCATCTCACATTCTGCAAATGACAGTATGGCAGAATAACAATAACATGCAAGACTTAGGGGGAAAATAATACTCACAAATGTATTTGTACTAAGAGGCAACCAAATTATGCCATAACATGCTGTATGAACAAAAGTTGCACAACTGTTCAAATAAATGGAAGACTTTTATTCATAATATAAGTATATGGTAACAGTTGAGCAAAATCAAAAGAAAGCATTCTGAGGGCCTGGGGATTGAGCTCAGCGGCATAAGCGCTTGCCTTGCAAGTGCGCAGTCATGAGTTCAATCCCTGGTACCAATAAAAAAGAAAGCATTCTGTATTATTATCAAAATGAGACACATTATGCTCTTACAATAGATCACTGAAGAATCTTTCATAGTAACCACACAATGGAAAATTTCCAACCTTCTATCATGAGCATATTATTAAATTAATGGAGAAGGGTGCACAAAATGCTCAGAAAAAAGAGAGAATTCATTCTACGAGGCTGAGAATAAGCTAAGGAAAGTAATGGTCCATCTTTGCTGAATGAAAAGGTTGAGGAATAAAGCTGATGACCTTATGTAAAGAAGGCTTTATATAAATTTAGTCATTTTAATTGGATCAAATGGAAAGCTGATTTCAGTTCAACACATATGTATTGAGGGTTTACTACATGGCAATCGAAGTAGTAGACATTGGAGATATGAAGTTGAGAAAGAAAAGACTCCTATAGTCAAGCAAGTCATAATATAATGGGCAGGCAGGCAAAACAAACAATGTGTAAGGAATAAGAATGTCTACAATTGTTTAGGAGATTTCTTAACATTTTTGTGATTATTTGGGTTTGGATGGAGAAAAACAGAGAACATAGGTGTCAGCCTGTGTTAGGAATTTCCTCAATATACTGTATTATTTTTCTTTGGATGAGAGATCAAAATGTTTGTTTTACCCTCACTATCTTCCCAGTGCTCAGCACACTGCCTGACATATAATATTCCCTCATATATTTGTTGAATAAATGAGTGAACACTAAGGACATTTTGTCTTTAAATATACTACAAATGGTAGATTACTTCCTATCCAGTAGGACCTAGTAAAAGAATATGTCAGGGCACACCATGTCTGTAATTTCAGCAATGTGGGAGGCTGAGGCATTAAGATCACAAGTTCAAGCTTAGCCTGGGAGACTTAGATTCTGTTTCGAAATTTTAAAAAGGGTTGAGAATGTAGTTCAGTACAAAGGAGAATATAAATTCTCTCCCTAATTCACATAAAGTTGATAGCAATCCAATCCTGAATTATTCTGTCTGAGTCAAGAAAAAATAAGTCAGTGACCATCAATTGTGATGCAGTAACTTTGGAGGAGAGAGAAAAAAAGTACTGCTATGAAAGAGGAAAAAAGGTGTTTAAAAGTCAGGTTAGAGACCAAAACTATTATTGTTTATATCACAAATATTCTTTTTGCACAAGGTACTGAGACCCAACTCAATTCCTCTGACTTGATCAGGATGAGCTTTTATAAGCCGTGTTTTATTTTGCATTAACTAAAATACAACATCACTTTGATTATTCCTGTTTGTCCCTGCTCCCCAGACATACAAGTTCCTGAATGGTTTCCTATGTCGTACAGCTAGCTATATCTTCTGCACTAAGAAGACTGTCTAGCACATATCAGCGATTCAATAAATATTTTTAAGTATATGTACCGACATGTTCTCAGCCACAGCTATTCACAGGGAAAGAATATTCTAAGCATTACAGTATTCTTTAGGATCAAAAATGGGAAAATAGAAATACAGGGAGTTGAGACCGATTAATAGAAAAGGGCTTGATAATAGGTTGTAGGCATTATAGTTGATGGAGATGTAAAGCATTCATCAAAAAATCAAGTACACGATCAATTTACATATAGGTCATCAATTAAAAGAATAGCGAATAGGTCTGACACTGAGAAAAAAGATCTGGGCGAAAGTTCCCACTTGAAATGAGGAGAAAGAAATGTCAATACTGTACTGACAAGTTCGGGAGGGTTCAGAAGGGCTAGGCACTCACTAAGCAGGCGCGGATAGAAGTACAAGGTAAAGTGCAAAGTGACGTCTTTGAATAAGGGTGTGAAGAGTTTTTAGGGGACTGGCGATCTGAAAATATTCAAATGTTACAAAAAGGTCTCGCAGACGTGAAATGAATGAAAGTTAACATTTTCCTGTTCTGTAATGACAACTTTAGTGATGCATTCTGATACTCTTAAACTCAAGCCCAATGCAAGCAGCTGAAATTGGACCTGCAGGACAATTCAGACTGTCGACACCAGAGAAACCCAAGTCACTCTTGCACTGCCTCTTCGCTCCACTTGAGCACTTCGTTGTTTACAGCTCAGCCCTCCCTCTGCCGCCATCTCCTCACCTCCCACAGAGCATGTCTCATTCTTTACCTGTCCGGATACCCTCTAGGGGAACACAGGCTCAGAACCGAAGGGTACAGGCCAGCCAAAGGAGGCCGGTTGCCGGCTCCCTGAAGCGGATGGAACAGGACGCCGCAGACTTCCGCGTAAAGTGCCCCGCCTACCCGTGGCCTCCTGGGAGTCAGTCTCCTCCAATGGGAGCGGACCGTCGGGCATCATATGCCGAGTTCTCAGCCTCCGGCGTTTCCCAAGTGCCGTATTGCATTCCGGGAGTGGTAGTTCCGACTGGAATATCGCCCGTTCTGGCACACTCTGTGTGTACAGTTGTTAGTTGTAAGCAACGTAAAACGCTGTACAAGAATCCGAGAAAATGAGAGGTTGCAACGCAATGTAGTTTACCAGCGTAGAGTCGGCAGATAAATTCAGAGTCAAGCTCCCCTCCCTCCCCACCCCGCCATCTCTTCGCTTGGTCTCTGTAGGTAAAGTCGCCTATTCTTCACAAAGCAGAAAACATTTGACAGGAACTTCCTCCATTTTCGCCAAGATCTTTTATTTCATTCCTTTTCAACAATAATGAAAACAGCTATGTTTCTTTGGTTTAAGCCTGCCCCACTACATCGCTACTGTCTCTTGTGAAAGCACTGTAGCTTGTTTGATGAACCCTTGTCATTATTCGTCACAGGCTCGTTGCTTACTCTCTTTAGTCTCAGTATTTAAAGACTCAAAATTTCTCTTATCTAAAGCATTCTAAATTCTCCTTTTTCAACCTTACACACCCAGCTTCCTCACCACATACTGACTTCAGCTACTATCTTTCTCCCCCTTCTCCATTCCAGTCAGAATTCTCAAGTGTTGTTTGAAGAGTAGATACTTTTCAGACAATTATCATGCTTTAACTCTGCGAGATTTTATAACGATTATACCCTCTTTGTTGAAACCCGTTATTCTCCTAGCGCTAAACTCTTTGGGTTTCACTCCCACTTCGGTAACACTGTTTTTCTTTAACACGTTCATCCTCCTTAAATGTTCCCCACTCTCTTTTTTCTTACTGTTCACATAACTTCTTGGTGATCTTAACTATCCTTGTTGCTTTGGCTGTATTCTATGTGGTGATTACAATAATCAATAGGAAGCCCAGACAAGATTCCTATAATCCAGAGTTAGTTATTAGTAATAGCCTCATATCTCATTCAGACACTTAAAATTTAATCTACTTTCCAACTGGCCTAACACTTTTATACTTTTTTGCACCTCAAAAACCCCTCTTATATTTTCCCTCATCCTTTTCCCCCACTCTAAATTCCATCTTGGTGAATTGCACAACCACCTAGTCAGTTGTCCATGCCAAAAAGCTGTGTATTTTTCTGAATACTTGTGTTCCCTCAAAGCTCACAACTAAAAGCACACAAGGAATGTCAGTTATACCCCCAAATATTTCATTTCACTAGGCAAGCTTCAGTTTTCTCATCTTTAAAGTGAGAATAATAATAGTATTTGTCTTTAAGGATTTTCACAATGGTTTATAGGCAGAAAATAAACATTTTATTTAATTTTAAATTTAATTTTATTTTTTACAAAAGAGTAAAACTAAACAGAACAAAACAGCAAAGCAGATCAGAAGAAAACAATGTAAGTGACACAGATTTCAAAACAAGACAACAGAAGATCTAAAGTGGCTACCACAAAGTATTTTGTTTTCTTCTAAATGGTTATCTATATCTTCACACACAACAAATTCATACAAAGCAAAGTAGTATAAAACTGATCAGAACAGGGTAATGAAAACACTATAGGCCTTCAAAACCAGACAATATGAAAATTAAAAATGGCTGCCATAATGATTTTGTGCTCTTCAAAACAGCTATCCATACCTTCATGCATGTTGAAATTAAACAATACAAAACAGACTAAAACCACTCTGAACAAAAAATGGAAGCACTATTGGATTTCACAGCATGATGATATGAAATCAGCAATGGATACCATAACGTATGTTTTTCTTCAAAATAGCTGTTCATTTCATCACACATAATAAAATCAATTCTCATAAACTGTTTAGGAGAAGTTCTAGGCATGTATAAGCCTCTACATTTATATCTATCCTTTCTGCATTAGAGTGAAAAACAGAACAAATAAAACAGATTACTAGAAAAACAAGAAATGAAAAAGATAAATAAATAACAATAGCAAAGATCCCAAAACAGTAATGAAACAGGTCTTCAAAGCACGGTAGTAGGACAGTAAGTACTTATTGAGAAAGCATTGTATTTGTCATTAGCTGTCCTTCATTAGATCTTAATTAGGTCATAATGATAGCTAGCATTTCTTTTATGTAATGTATATTTATAAAACAAAAAGGACAAATAGATATTTTGTGAAGTTACCCTACTTGATTCCTCAGTAGTTTTTCCAAGCATTCCAAGATTATACTAGTGGCTGTGAGCATTATAATACGTGGTTCATACTCTAATATGCACAGAATGTAGCATATCTTACGTATTCAGCTCTGAATGGACTATAGACAAAATGAGGTACATTCAGGGAATTTTGAATAAAATGAGCAGGGTACCAGACATCAGAGATAATGTCTCTTCACCTACAGTATTTTTTTGCAAATTCTAATCTTATCAATATCAAACTGTACTCTGTGTCTTCTGCTTCATGTCCTACTTTTTCCACCACGTTTCCAACTAAAGTTGAATCAATAAGATATAAAAATTCTAAATAATCCAGTATCAATCAATAAACTAGAAAATGTAATAAAAATTCTCAACAAAGAAAAGCCCATACTCTGATGGGTTCATTGCTGAATTTTGTGAGACATTAAGAGATCTAATACCACCGATCATTAAATTCTTTAATAAAATTGAAAAGGATGCAATACTCCCAAAGTCATTCTTGGATACAAGTACTATCTTAGTATCAAAACTTGGTAAGACCTAACCAAAAAAGAAAACTACCAGCCAATCTCCCTATTGAACACAGAGCAAGAAATGCTCAATAAGATGCTAGAAAATGGGATGCAACATATCATCAAGAAGATTATATACCATTATAAGGCAGGATTCCTCTCAGGGATTCAGAAATGGCTCAACTTATGCAAATCAATAAATGTAATACACCATATCAACAGAGCCAAAGACAAAAATTGCACAATCACTTCAACAGACACAGAAAAAGCATTTAATAAAGTTCAAAATCCATTCATGACAAAAAGATCTGAAGGAAATTGAAATAGGTTATCTTTATCTCAATCTTATAACAGTCATCTATGACAAACCCCAGCCAACATCACATGAATTGTCAAAAACTGAAAATTTTCACTCTAAAATAAAGAACAAGACAACAATGTCTATTATCACCATTCTTATTCAATGTAGTTCTGGAAAAATTAACCAGAGCAATTTTACAAGAGTAACAAATAAAATGAATAAAGATAAGAATGGGAGAAGTTAAATTATCACTATTTGTATGTGACATGATATTCTACATAGAAGACCCAAAAACCCCACCAAAGGACTTCTATATTTAATAACCAAATTCAATTGCATAGCTGGATACAAAGTCAACATTGAAAAATCAATATCATTCCTTTACACAAATGCATTGAGAGAAAAATTAGAGGAACCACACATTTCACAACGGCATTGAAAAAAATGAAATACTTAGGAATCAAATTAACAAAAGAAATAAAAGATCTCCGCTTTGTAAACTATAATACTCTGAAAAAGGAGTTTGAAGAGGTAATCAGAAAATGGAAAGATATCCCTTGGTCATTAGTAGGAAAAACCAAGGTAGTAAAAATGATCATACTTCCAAAATTGTTATACATATTCAGTGCAATCCTGATCAAACACTAGTTTTAGCACTATATTCTTTTGCCCTATGATACCCCACACCTTGTACAGACACCAGGTTTTGTTAGAGGAAAAGATAATGGCTATGCTGTTCTCACAGGTGCAGAAGAGCAATTTTGGGCAAAATGTCACTTGATTCCTCAGCTGAAACAAGTAACTGCACCCTTTCCCTTCTCTAGGCTGTAGATGAACAACCTGAGTGATAGCGGTTGCCAAGGCAGCCCCATGATCACATGACAGAACAGTGTCTGCAAAAATTCAAACCATCTCAGCCAGTATATCCCATTTCTGTAGGCTCTTAAACCCTTTTTACACAATTTATTGCGTGTTCAAAGGCAAACTGTTGAACTATTAACTTACTAGCCTCTATATTGCTTATAATTGGCCTACTAGCCTGCAACAAGCATGCCACAAAATCTTGAAAAGGTTCATCAGGACCCTGACGAATGGAAGTCAAATCAAAGAATGTCTCACCCTTTGAAGTAAACTCCCTCCAAGCCCATGTAGTATCTATTTTAATCTGCTCAGACACTTGCAATTCAAAAGTAAATTGATTATTTGTGGCAGCAAAGGCACTTTCTCAATCGACAAATGTTTTGTAATGGCTATGTTGTGAGCAGCACTGTGCATGGCCTGATCCACACAATTTGAAAAGAATTTCCTTTGCACAACAAATAATTCCATGAACTTAAACACACTTTATATATTCCTTTGCAATCATTTGAGACCATAATCTCTTATTCTAAGAACTCTATTAAACCTAGGGTAAAAGGAGCCATAGGGTCATAGGTAGTAGCAGCCTGTTTAAATTCCTTTAGGTTCTCAAAGGTTACAGCTGTCTGAAGATGTATATTTTTCCCAGTTATTGGGGGCTTGACCTTCAGTAACTGGGTAGATATGTTGAAAACTCTCCATGGACTCCCCCTCCCATCATAGTTCCTTAAATGCCAACTGCAAGGTAGAGAGAGAAAATGGTTCCCCTCTGAGAGGATGAAGTTTCACACTGCAGGGCAGCAAAAACTTCTCTGAGTTGAAAAGGCAGAAATCTATACTTGTGACTGAGCTAAATTCATCAGGCATTGTAAAATAGAATGTGCCAAAAATATTCCTCCAGTGAAGAAGGATCGTTTTTGCCTTCCATCATTCCTTTCCTATCTAATTGCACAAAATCAGAGGGTTTAAGCTCTATTATGGGAGGCAGGCTACTCTTTTGCCATCTTTTTTCTGCTTAGGACTTATTTTAAAAGTAATGCTTCCAGCCAAATCCTTTATGGTTGTCTCAACAAGTGTACGACCATTAAAACAATTCCTAATGCAAATCCACAAAATTA